GAATAACAGAACAATGAAGCTACTTAGATGCATAGTTTCAAACCTCTAAGCTTTCCTAACCCTAAAGAAATAAATGTAGACTATGACCAGATTAACAGATGATTTATAACAGATAATTTATAACCGACTGCTCAAATGGAAACCATTTTCAAACAGCAGTTGATGCTACAGCAGTTACAAACCTCCTGTTGAGCTGCACCTTCTCACTGTGTAAAATGGCTTCCCTAGAATGGTCTTACTCTCCTGGAAATCCTGTTTGCCTCTATGCAGGGAGTCACAGATCCGCTGCCACGCATCCAAATGGATCTTACAAAAATCCACGTGCCCTTGGATGGCTTTGCAAACATCACTCATGCTCTCATAATAAACATTGTTGACAGTGCCAGCCTCTGTCATGTGATCTACTGTGTCATTCTCCACTGATGGACCTTTAAAGATCATCACTTGGTCTAGAAATTTACATATGGGCTCCGAATCCTGCAAAACGTTCTGATATATTTCAATAAACTTCTGTCCCTCATGAGCATTAACTGCTAATTCAGTGATGCCTATAGTTACACTGTTTACAGCAGCTCCCAGCACCCCCCCAAAAAGAGTGAAGGGTGTTCTCAGTCCTTTGGCCAAGGCCAGCCCAACTATGGTCAACACCCCACCACCGACAACACTGAAGATTTTCAGCTCCATCTTCATCTCGTCGAGCTGTACTGCACACGCTTCCATCTGTGTCAGGGATCTGAGGATCTTGGGTTTTTGTTCACGGAGGACGTCAATGAACTTAAGAGACTTTTCTTCATCTCCGAACATGAAAGCCAGTCTGAAGTGCTCATTAGCCCTGAGGGGGGAAAACCTTTTTAAATAAGTAAAAAGGCCTGTTATATGATTCTAAAGAACTTTGACTTTAAAACATTTAGAAAGAAAAGTCATTTGCTTAAACCAATTGCATGTTATACATGCAAAAATGTAAAAAAATAAATGCAAAAATAATTTAGCTAAAAAGATTAGTATTTATTTACCTGATTTTGCTCAAATTATTGATATGGTTACTCATCATGTTGACAGTGTCAGGGCTCAATTGAATGTAGAACTCAAGGCAGGTATTTTGTCGCCTATGTGAAAATGGGACAGAAATAAAAGTTTAATGCAGCATCTTATTGTCACGTTCAGCTCCGAACGCTCCTCGTGTGTGCCACGCCCCCTCATTACCTCCTGTCCAACCCTGATTGTTCTCACCTGTTGCCTGTTACATTTGCCTAGTCTTGTGTATTTAGTCCTAGTCTGAGTCCCAGAGTCAGTCTCCCTAGATTTCTCATTGTGATGTAATGTTGCTTTCGATGTCCAGCCTCCATTTCCCTGCCTGTTCGTCGAATAAACCCCGTCAATCCAGATCCACGGCTCCGCTTGCCTGCTTGACCGCCAGCTCGCTAGTATGGAGGGAAATCCCGGACATTTTTCAAAAGGAATTGCAAATTGCATTTTCCATATGTGGACGCATAAAGTGTGACATAATTCAAATGCAATTGCAAATTTTGCATTAACGTTTGCTTTTTCGCTTTTGCGAACGAACACTTATTGCCACATTTCAAATGAAAAAGCAAAGTCCATTTGCAATTCCAACTACATCTATAAAG